TGTCATCGTCTCTATTGTTCATCTAGTGCTCAGGACATAAACAATCATTCAGGCTTGCACAAACCTCTTTTACTTCACCGTAATTACTTGAATCTAGTTTGTAATTCTCCATGTTGTCATTGTAATTCATTGCTAAGAGTATGTATTTACAAGCAGTGTGTTTCCATAGCAACATAATATCCTCCACCCATGGTTTTTGGTAAGTAGGCAAATACAACCTTCTTCACACACACACACATATTTGATAATCATAACTCGTATGTCTTTTATTGATACAACTATAAGGGTCTTGGCCTTAGAGATGAAGGCATAGAGGATAGGCTAAAAGTATTTGAGACCCTTATGATGTTAAGGAAACCAATGGGAAAATATTTTATATATGGATTCAAGTGTCATAATCTTTTATATTGAATGGAATGTTTTTATAATAAATACTATGATAAATATTTGTTGTAAAAGGGGGATTTTCAATGCTTTAATATATTCAATGGATCCTTGTGTTATGTTATTGGATAAAAGAGATGAAGCCATAAAGAAGTAATTTCAAATCGTTTATAGAAGTTGATTGATGAAATTTGACTTGTCTAATGTGGCTTCGTTTCATTACTTGAACTAGCTTCGGTTTGGAAGATAGGGTCCAAATAATAATATGTTAAGTACAATGAGAAAAAAAATGGTTAGGTCGTTAATAAAAATCATCGTGTATATGGGGTGTTGTGCTTCGAACTAATAGGATCATCTTTAATATTTATAATTATGGTCTATTTATTTCGATAACTCAATAACCAAAACTCTCTCAAACTTAAAGCCTTAAAACAACTAGTGAATGAGTACCATTAGGTTGAACAATGTAGTCGTGATTGTGCCTGGTCCACCTAGGCTCCATCTCAACACCCGCTCGAACTTGTTATTCTTTGTAGGCATTAGGGAGCAGTGTACATGGGAAGTTCTTCGGGCAACATTAAACTAAAAGAAGGAAAACGTGGAGAGAAAAGAAAATGCATGAACATAAAGAAATTGCATGAACATGTCACTCACATCAGGTTATAGGTAGATCCACATTGGAACCCGGGTAGCCCGGGATGCCCCTCAAAATTTGTCCTTCGTCGTACCCTCTCCCCTACACAAGTCACATTGTTGTCTTGCCATTTGCCAGAGATTTGTTGTTGTCGACAACTTTTTTCAACAAACTCCTCCGATGAACAGTGGTGAGTGTGATGGGTTTTGAGCACTACATCATTCCTATGGTGTACATGCAAACCCTAATGCTTAGTGCCTAAAGTGTTGCACCTCCGTGTAATTGGCTTCAGAAAGCTTAATATCCTAAAGTGTTGCACCTCTAATGAAGTTACAAACACCACTAGCAATAAGGATGAAGAAGGAGAAGAGAAGAGGCACCCAAAATGTCTAGAAACCCTAAGGAATCAGTCAGTTACATTTTTGGTGTCCTATGGGTCCTTAAATATGTGAGGCTATTAGGGTTTTGAACTTAGGAAACCCTAATCTGACTACTTAGGCTCTATGCAGTCCATGGACTCACTCCTTAGAGGCCTTGGATGATTTCTTATGGGTTTCCCCATATAATTCATCCACTCCATCCTCTATGGAGTCCATTAGCCTAATATTCAACTATCACACAATTGACAGTTCTAGTCCCCTTTATTTAATTAATGTCTTTTAGCTAAAAAATTAATTATCAATTAATTCTTGACTAATATTAATCAAACAATATGATTTTTCCTTTAATATATTGTTCTTACAATATATTAATAAATCATAATTAATCTCCTCTCTCCTTAATTCTTCCTACAAGTTACTATGGTGAAGGCAACCCAAAAGGACCATGCTCATAATCGGGTCAAGTACATACCAAAATAGTTATGGACTTAGACATTAATCCAACAGTCTCCCACTTGGATAAGTCTAACAACTATTATGCATAACTTCAGAACCTAATCAGCAATCGTAACTTACAAAAGTAGTTATCAACTCTGATCTTATCAAATACGCGTGTCCTTTAGATAAGGGATCATATATTCCTCCATTCTACAAGATATCATATAGAAATGAGACATGGATTTAAATCATTTTCTCTGTGTATGTATTGTTTCCCGACATCCGATTTATGACGACTGACAACATACTACAATTGAACGCATCAACTTAGTCCCGGCTTGGCCAAACGCTTAGGGTGTCATCACTAAATCATCGAGGGGCCAAGCGCTTAGGGCGTCAAGTGATCCGAGAGTTGGAGTTTACCTTTCGTGTCAACATCTGCGAGGTGAGTTATCCTCACTATATCGATAGGGTCTACGACACCAAGGCCGACCCTTTAGTTGTTATTGTTATGGTATGTTACATGTGGTTATGATCTGTTAGATCGGAATCGGGGTAGATAATATGTTATGCTCTTATGATCCGTAGGGAGTGGTATGTTAGTGACCTGCTAGGTCGGTACTCTAGTTACAGGAGAATTCTATGATTGATGATCAGTGTGACAAATATGTTTGATGTTTGTATATGCCTGTATATGATATAGTATGTGCACATGGTTATTTGCTTGTGGTTGGGTTGAGGCGGTCCTGCTTTGTGCTGAAGGCCAATATACCCTATGAGCGGTCCGGGGAGACTGTAGGCCCACGTGGCGGACCGGTCATGCCGAAGGCTCGGGATAGATTTAGACAGACTGTAGGTCCGGTAGGGCAGTCCAGTTAGGCCGATGGCCCAGTATGCATATTGATTGATTGATTATTATTCATATGGTTTTGTCAGTGTGGTATTGGTATTTTGGGGGTAACTCACTAAGCCCTCGGGCTTACAGTTTTTAGTTTATTATTTCAGGTACTTCAAGAGATCATGGAAAGGCGAATGCGTGACCGTACCTCCTCATCCTTATGTTATGTTTTTTGGGACACTCTGATGGAAAATGATTTGAAAACATTTTGTAAACAATGCTATTTGGTTTTTATTTATGATTGAAAAGGTTTAAATTTGGCGTAAAATTTATGGAATCGATGTTAGGAACCGGAATTAGTTTCTATGAAACGTTTAAAACATGCATATCCCATTCGTTTCAAATCAGACTGACAAACGATTTTTCTCCAACCTGTAGTTTAGAGTTTATACATGATTTTAGACTATAAATTTGTCATTTTTAGTTTTATGTTCATTGACTTACAACCACCCAAAGTCGAGATATCAAAGTTGGAATTTTTTTCCAGCTTTTTTTTGTATTCTGTGAAAGTTTTAAAACATGCATATCTAATTCGTTTGAAGTCGGATTGACAAACAATTTTTTCTAGCTTGTAGTTTAGAGTCTGTACATGACTTTAAGCTATAATTTTGTAAATTTTGGTTTAATATTCAATGACTTATAGTCCCCCGAAGTCGGGATATCAAAGCTGAAAATTTTCAACTTTTCAGCTATTTATTTTTGTACTTTGAATTCTGTGAAAAATTAAAACATGCACATCTCATTCGTTTAAAGTCGGATTGACATGCAATTTTTTTTCCAGAGTGTAGTTTAGATTTTGTACATTATTTTAGACTATAGTTTTATCAATTTTGGTGTCATGTTCAATGACTTACAATCCTCTAAAGTTGGGATATCAATATGAAAATTTTCAAAGTTCAACGTACTAAGTAGTAAGTAATTACCAAAATATTCCGATTTTTTCGGTTCTAAACCCACTTTATCTGATACTAACATACCCACTTTGATGTTTCCGGGTTTTCCGGTTATAGACCCATTTTACCTGGTACCGTACCTAAAACCGAATCATAACCGATTCCTATATACCGGTCTGGTTTTTGGGTCTACAAAATCCCGTTAACCGGTTTCAGGTTCTCCGGGTCTGGGTCCATTCGATCCGGGTATGGACCCACTTTCATTCCTAGTTCAGATCTACATCGTCGGATATTCAAATCTATGTCACCAGAGGTGGTTTTGGTGGTCCAACGAAAAAAGAGTCTCCGGTGACTAGGATAGAATGACAAGTGGCGGTGGTCTGGCAGACGATGGTGGTCGGTAGGAGGTGTTGGTTTGACATCAATGGATTATATATATATATATATATATATATATATATAGAGAGAGAGAGAGAGAGAGAGAGAAAGATATTGTTAGTGTTTCTAGAGGTATGTGGGTTGGGTATGATGGGTTGTATATGTTTTTGATTTAAATTTAAATAAAAAATACAATAAATTATAAAAGAAATAGAAAAATAAATTAATAAGGGTAAATCTATCATTTGAAAAAAAGTTTAAAAGTAATAGTATAAACTAGTAACAAAATGAAAAGTTTACACCTCTGCTAGTCAAAATATTTTTAGACAAAAATGACAATTTTGAACCATCCACAAGGACCATTTGTACAGTTTGGTCTTATATGTAGAGGGTGTTTGACACTTATTTTCAAATGATTTTTTGGACTTTTGATTTTTTAAAAAAATCAAAAGTTTAAAAAGTTGTTTGATAACTTCAAAAGTTTTTTAGATTAACTATTTGAGAAGAAAAAGAAGAAGGTGTTTAAGAAGTTAATGGGGTGTTTGGGATTACTTTTAAGTGTTCAAAAATCCTTTTTGATTTTAACTTTTGAAAGAGCAAAAACTAAAAATTGATTTTAAAAAGTGTGATTTTTTGACTTTTGAATCTAATTTACCATTTAAATGATTAAAATAAAAAAAATAGAATTCCCTAACTTTTAAAAACCCACCATTTTATTCTTGTTAAAAAATTTATTTTTAAAAAGACTTTTGTATTTGTGAAACATCTTTTTGAATTGAAAAAAAATCCAAAAATCAATTAAAAAGCAATCCTAAACATCCTTTATGACTTTTAAACATGCGACTTTTAGTAACTTTTAATTTTTTTTCCATAAAGTCCTTATAAACACATTTTAAAAATTTCTTTCGGTAAAAAAAACATAAATAAAAAAATTCTTTCTTTAAAAAAAGATTTTGTTTAGTTTAAAAAGCAATTCCAACGCCCTTAGGAATATGCACAATTTTCACTGCATCGATATCCGAAAACTTTTATCGAATTCGTTTCTGTTGTTTTATAGTAGTGAATAGTTACTTGGTTCTGAACGGAGTGATTCATGATCGTGGCGTCCTGGGGCCGTACCACGCAACCGAACTGATTATACAACCACCGGTCCACGATCACATTTAGGTAATCTGCTTTTCTCATCACTGCCTTCAATCGACACAGCTACTCCGGTTTTGTTTCTAGGACAGTCGTTCTGCCAATGGCCGGCGTTAAAGTTAAGCACGAAATCCTGGAGGAATTGAACGGTGACGACAGTAACAATACGAAAACGAAGGATGTTTCGGGAGCTCCGGTGATTGATATTGATAGTTCCGATGACGATTCCTGTTCATCTGGCGATGGAATTAAAAATGGCAAGAGGTCTAGGGTTTCGAGAGGTGTTGACGAAGTTCAGAGTAACAAAAAGAATAAATCTGCTGATGGTGTGACTCTTCCCGTAGGTTTTCTAGATCGTTTGCCGCCTAAGGATGCGGCATTGCAAAATAAGAAGGGAAATATTGTTTCGTCGGAACGGAACTGTAAGCAGTTTTGGAAAGCTGGCGATTTCGAAGGAGGTTCCGGATCTTCCAGATCTTCCGGTGGTGGTTGGGATGCACCCGCAGGTTTGCTGCTTTTTATGTTTTCATCCCCCATTTAAGGGTTTTAGGGTTTTTTTTAAAGGAATTATCACAGTTACTTGCAATTATTTGGATTCAACTTGATCTGAGTTATTAAATTTTTAACTTAATTAAGGTAACTAAACTTTGATTAAGGCTATTGGGAATGTGTTTATGGAAAGAAAAGTAAAATTCGCTGAGAAAGGGAAGAACATCAAAGAAGTATAACTTTTATCTCAAAATTCTCCCAAATTTCTCAATCTCTAGGGCCACTAATTGTTTACTGGTTTTGTACTTCACTCGTGAAAAGTTTATGATTTTTGAGAGCTGATTCTTTACCTGACATATTTCATATCTACAGGTGGTATAGATCATTTAAGGGTTCATCCAAGATTTCTGCACTCCAATGCAACTAGTCATAAATGGGTTCTTGGAGGTAATGTTGTTTTATATGTCCTTGAGTTGGTTATTTTTCTATTATTTGTTCTTTATATGCAGTTGAAATCACTTATATGTTTCATATTCCTAGTTTTTATACTTATAGATTGGTCTGTGTATATCTACTCATGCAGCTTTTGCAGAACTTCTGGACAATTCACTAGATGAGGTAATTATGCTGTGCCACTTAAAGACCATTTCAATCATATCCATCTCTGTTACACACATCTATATATACTTTTCATTTCTTTTAATAGGTCTGTAATGGTGCTACTTATGTCAAGATTGACATGCTAACAAACAAGAAAGATGATAACAGAATGTTGCTGATTGAAGGTATTCGTGTGGCTTCCTTTATGTCGATTGCCTCTCTTGTTAACCATTTTCATCCACTATGTAATGTAGATAATGGTGGTGGGATGGACCCTGATAAAATGCGTCTATGCATGTCTCTTGGCTTTTCTTTGAAAAGCAAGATCAAAGATGCTATTGGACAATGTAAGCAACCTCACTTTACTCTCATCAAATATGTTCTTGGATAGATTAGATGAATATTTTCTTTATTTGCCATTTTGATATTTTTTAACAGATGGGAATGGTTTCAAAACAAGCACCATGAGGCTTGGAGCTGATGTTATTGTCTTCTCTCGATGCTCTGGGAAAAACGGAAATAGGTTTGTGATCCATTTATGTTAGTGGAAAATATATATAAATATTTTTTCTTTTGTAAACCCTTATCTTAAGGGACTTGATATTTCAACAACACTAAGAATAACATTTGATGATATTTCCTTGAAGGCCTACACAAAGCATTGGTCTATTGTCCTACACGTTTCTTCGGAGCACAGGAAAGGAAGACATTGTAGTTCCAATGGTAATTAAGTCAACACATTCTTGAAATGTTTGCCAACTAAGAATTACATGTCAAATTCCATTTTTTTTTTTATTTTCAATCACATATTTATTATTATTATTAGTTATGTTATTTATAATTTTTATTTGTTGTTGTTGACTATGTGAAAAAGCTTGATTATGAAAGACGTGATCGAGAATGGAAGAAGATGAAACGAGCATCAGCAAGTGATTGGGATAAAAACGTTGAGGCAATGGTACAATGGTCTCCTTTTTCAAGTGAAACAGATCTATTGAAACAAGTAAGATTTATTTTATGAGCAATAGTTTGTATCATTCAAAATTAACATGCTATTAATTTTTTTTTTTTTAATAGTTTGACAAGATGAAAGATCAAGGGACTCGCATAATCATATACAATCTATGGGAAGATGATCAAGGCCAATTAGAGCTCGATTTTGATGCCGATAAACATGTTTGTGTTACATCAGCCTTGAATCAATGTAACTAATTTATAGACAATACATGATCAAAATCCACTGATTTCAATTCACATTAAACAACATGTCTTGCAGGATATTCAAATTCGAGGTGTTAATAGAGATGAGAAAAGTATAGAAATGGCAACACAGTATCCCAACTCTAGACACTTCCTCACATATCGCCACTCTCTCAGGGTAAGTTCAACATTATTGAAATTAAATATTCTGTGTTACTGATTAACGATGGTTTAATAATTTTAATTTTTTAATTTTTTTTTCAGAGTTATGCATCGATTCTGTATCTAAGAGTTCCTCCTTGCTTCCGGATGATTCTGCGTGGGGTTGATGTGCAACATCATAATATTGTAAATGATATGATGATGACAAATGAAGTGACATATCGTCCGCAGCCTGGTCTTGATGGGGTCCCCAAGGACTTAAATGTAATTTTCTTCACTTGATAAAATAATTATTTTGTTTTGTTGAAGTTACCTACTTACCTTTAATTACTGCCTATTTCAATAAACAGATGGTTGCTACAGTTACTGTGGGATTTGTAAAGGATGCAAGGGCTCATATCGATGTACAAGGATTCAATGTTTATCATAAAAACAGACTCATCAAGGTTTTGACTTTGTTGACTTCTTACATTCTCATGATGCATTAGATTATATCATATGACTCTCCATCATTCTTGTTTCAACAGCCATTTTGGAGACTTTGGAATGCTGCAGGAAGTGATGGTCGTGGGGTCATAGGTTATATTTATCCCTTTCAAAACTTTTTAACATTTTTATGTTGTGATTGATTCTAAATTTCTAATTAATTTTTAATTTTTTTTAAAGGTGTGTTGGAGGCTAATTTTGTTGAACCAGCTCATGACAAACAAGGATTTGAACGCACCAATGTTCTTTCAAGACTCGAAACACGCCTCGTTCATATGCAGAAGACATACTGGTATAAATATAATATTCATAATCATCACATTCTAATTATTTTATTAAATTAAAAAAAATAAATAATAAACACACCCGCTTTCTGATTCAGGAATGCATACTGTCACAAAATTGGGTACGCGCCACGTCAGCACAAGAATAAACCGGAAGACCTAGGTATAATATATTGTTTTCTTTTACATTGTGGGATAATTGCTCTGACTATTATTAATACATCATTTTTTTTTTATCTGGTAGAACCTTCTCCTAATTACAAAGATGACCCTTCTTCTAAAAAGAAGAATAAGATACATGGTGTAGGTGTTGGCTCTTCTGAATCAACATCACCTATGTTTCAAAACATGCAAGATAATGATTTGAAAACAAACATGACTCCTAAACATGCAAATGCAAATGGAGATTATTATTCTCAGAGAGACGCATCAGGTCAAAAGACTCGTTTGGTTTCAGCTCTTGAGGTCAGGCATCCGGATTGTTCTCCAATCCAAAAAGGAATGCAAGTTGTGACACGTGTTCCTGGTGGTTTTAATGGAAATGAAACTGCTCTTTCAAATTGTAACACTCAGAGGTTGAATCAATTGGTTGAAGAAAACCGTGAGTTGAAGGAAAGATTGAAAAGACGTGAAGAAGAGGTGTTAGGTAATCTGCTTCAGGATCTAGAATCTGAAAAGAATCGTTGCAAAACACTTGAAGCACAGGTAAGCAATTTCACTAAAACTTCGTGTCTGTTTTTCATGGTCATAAGTACATATAACCTTAATTAGTCTTTGTGTATATAATATGAACAGATTGAAGAGGAAAAACACAAATATGATGTATTAAACAGGGAGCAAGAAAGTATCATTGCTATATTTACCGAGGAGAGAGAACGTAGAGACTCTGAGGAGCAAACACTGAGAAAGAAGTTGAAGGTTTGTTTATTTGTTTGTTTGTTAATAGTCAATAGTTAATAGTTATTCTAGATTTGAAATGATTTATTTGTGTGTGTTTAGGAAGCGGAAGCTACAAATAAGAACCTGGTGGAAAAGGTGACACAGTTGCAGTTGGAGAAGATGAAGAGTCAGGGGCGCAAGTGGGGTCAGTAGGAGGAGGACATAATGTATGTAGCGTCTGCTAGTGCCTGTTATGCATAATTTGCTGATGTTTTAGAGTTTTCTGTTTTAGAAGTTATGGATGGTTTCAGTTTGTATGAAAAATGGAAGGGTTGTTACTTGTTAATTGTTATGGTTGTGTTTACTTGCTACCACGCTGTTTGCTTAAGTCAAGTGTCATGATTTGTTGCTTATTTATGGGATAGTGATTGCTCATAATATGTTTCAAATTAAAGAAAGAGTTATTGTATTTAGTGGTTTTGTATTTTATGAAAATCAATGTAACTCATCAAATATGCTCTAATGGCAAATCGGAGGTCTAATGAGCAAATTTTGTTAGGACTTTTGGAGTATTTTTGTGTATGAAAATGCCTTTGAAGGGAGGTTGTAGAACTAACCTCTTACATAAAGTTCATGAACTAAAGAAAGTCCAAAACACCTAGTATGCCATTGTTTACAAAATAAATAAATAAATCATCTAAGCTTGTTAAAGTCAATAATAGGTAGCTCATAGGTTGGTTTGCGTGGTTTGAATTTTCATTAACCGAACAAAACTCAACAATGTACAAAGCAAACAGAAAGAGGTGGTGATGATTTCAAACCCATAATTTCCAGCAAATCTAATAAAAAATAGGACACCAAACTCGATTTTCCGACAAAAAAGGTTTCCCCCAACCAGTAATCTCAACACGAAGATCTCTTTGTCGTCTCCTCTAACAACCCACTATGCAACAAAATCAAATGATAGAAATGGTCTAAGTTAAAAAATAGGAACTAATCATGCAAATTACTCCAAACCACAGGGACTATTTGTGTAATATACTTTATATATAATGAAAAAAAAAAAAAACAATTTAATTCCTTAGAATTTGTTTTTGGGTTTAATTATCGATTTTCTCGGTCCGAATCCGACCCAGGTGGGATATAAATACCTGCAGATTGGGCGGAATCGAGAGTGGGCGTAGGGAAGTAGACTTGGATAGATCTCTCTGTTTTTCTTATCTTCTTTACCATCAGAACCAAATAACACAGAGGAGAAATGGCGGGGATAGGGTTATCATGGCCATCAAAGTTGACCGATAGACCTAAACTCACATCCACCGTCTCTCGGTCTTCCTCATCTCGTTGCTGTTTATCTTCCGTTAAAATGACCGTCTCCGTCGACGAGAAGAAGAAGACTTTTACCCTCAAGAAATCTGAAGAAGCCTTCAACGCTGCCAAGGTAGGTGGATGTGGATTCCTATTTAATTAAATCTATTTCTGTTTCAATTTTGTGTCATCAATTCCTTTTTCTTCTGCTGTTCAGCTGATGTTATCGACTACTTGTTTCGTTAACTGTTAAATGTGATTCAATAACATTCTGTTTATTAGCAATTTAGGAATAAACGAAACGCAAATTGCTTCTTATTTGTTCCATCTGCCATTGGTTGTTTCTGTTCTATATAATTTCAGTATAGATTGTAGTTTCAAATTGATCAAAACACACATTAAATTGCTTTTATTATTATTTTTTATACAGTACAATCATATATATTGTGGTTTTGAAGAGAATTGTTTTACTACCAGCTTAGGTTAAACGACTTGTAGATGGCTTCTGTAAGTAATACATTCATCATTTAAGCAATTCTAATCTAGAAATTTAGCCTACTAAATTTTGGTAACAAGAGTGCATAATCTTAACTATACATGGAGTTTGTGCTGCAACATTGCAATTTATTACAATCCACCAGTTAGTTAGCAATTAGCATGCCCTAGATAAGAATTTCCAGACCATCAATTCAAAGAAGATGACAATCTCACTTTCTTTTCACATCAACTCATAGAAGTTATACATTGAATGTAATTCCAACTGTTAATTATAAAGATCCTAGTTTTGGCAATCTCATTCACTAAAAACGTCCACTTACAGTGATTATTTGTTTTGTGATTCCTATTCTGTTGGCAGGAGTTGATGCCAGGAGGTGTTAATTCCCCTGTTCGTGCTTTCAAATCAGTCGGTGGGCAGCCTATTGTAATTGATTCCGTGAAGGGTTCTCACATGTGGGACATTGATGGGAATGAGTACATCGATTATGTTGGTTCATGGGGACCCGCAATCATTGGCCATGCAGATGACGAGGTTACTTCTATCCTCTATCCTCTTTCCTCAATCAAAATCTTTATATTCAGGGTTTCCAAAGTATAATATCCTAACAAGAAAAATCAACAGGTACTTGCAGCCTTAGGAGAAACAATGAAAAAAGGAACAAGTTTTGGTGCACCATGTCTCCTAGAAAACGTATTAGCTGAAATGGTGATCTCAGCTGTTCCCAGTATCGAAATGGTCAGATTTGTGAATTCCGGGACAGAAGCATGCATGGGTGTACTCCGGTTAGCCCGTGCCTACACCGGAAAGACAAAAATAATAAAATTCGAAGGATGTTACCACGGCCACGCCGACCCCTTTCTTGTCAAAGCCGGAAGCGGAGTCGCCACCCTCGGACTCCCCGATTCCCCCGGAGTCCCCAAATCCGCCACCTCCGACACCCTAACATCCCCTTACAACGACATCGCCACCGTCCAAAACCTCTTCAACGCCCACAAAGGCGAGATCGCAGCCGTAATCCTCGAACCCGTAGTTGGAAACTCCGGATTCATCACTCCGACTCCGGAGTTTCTCAATTCCCTCCGCGAAATCACGAAACAGAACGACGCGCTTCTTATATTTGATGAAGTGATGACGGGGTTCCGGTTAGCGTACGGTGGGGCGCAGGAGTATTTCGGTGTGACTCCGGATTTGACGACTTTAGGGAAGATTATTGGTGGTGGGCTTCCGGTGGGGGCGTATGGCGGGAGGCGGGAGATCATGGAGATGGTGGCTCCGGCGGGACCCATGTATCAGGCGGGGACGCTTAGTGGGAACCCGTTGGCGATGACAGCTGGCATTCACACGCTTAAAAGGCTTCAAGGAGCGGGGACTTATGAGTATTTGGATAAAATTACGAGTGAACTTATTGGTGGGATTTTGGATGAGGGTAAAAAGGCGGGGCATGCGATGTGTGGAGGGTATATTAGGGGAATGTTTGGATTCTTTTTTACGGATGGACCGGTTTATAATTTTGAGGATGCTAAAAAGAGTGATACGGATAAATTTGGGAGGTTTTATAGAGGGATGTTGGAAGAAGGTGTTTATTTTGCTCCTTCTCAGTTTGAGGCTGGGTTTACTGGGTTGACTCATACACCTGAGGATATTCAACGGACGATTGATGCTGCTGCCAAGGTTTTCAAACAGCTTTAGATTTTGTCAAGTGGTAAGGTTTTATTTTATGGTGAGTGAGTGAGTTTATTTTTTTTGGTAGGTATATGCATTTTGGATTTTAGTTATGGTTTTTACCATGTTGTAATATGTTTAGATATGAGTGTGTAATAAGATTCTTCTTTTCGAGTTTGTTTTTGCTAATTTTTTTTTTTTTTTTTTTTTTTTTTTTTTTTTTTTTTGTAGCAACTTGTAATCGTTCTCTCTTTCATCTCCTTCACTTGCAAAAAAAAACAGTTCATGTTGTATTTCAGATCAACATTTTGAAATAGACGCAAATTTAATGACTTGGTTAAAAGATTCATCTGTTGACCCTGAGTTCCCTGACCAAAGACCGGTCTTAAGAAAAAAAGGTTTAGGTTAAATGCAGGAAATAGTAATATAGTGTCATTTCCTAAATATTATTACTCCTACCTCCTTATAAGCTTTTAGAATATAGAAGCACATAAAAATAGTATAAATTTATAAACAGATAACAATAATAAAAACTTCAAACTTATAAATTTGGTGATATGATCAAAATATTCATGTTTGTTAATATGTAAAACTAATTTGTTGTATTGGTTATAAATTTAAGAAGTTAAAAAGTTCAAGGATAAAAAATTGTTGGATAAATATTGTCATGTAGACCGGTTGAAATTTGAAGCCCGGTTAAGGGACGAACCGTGAAAGCGAACCGTAGATAAACACTAAACAGGGTTTCATTATGAAGAGGAACAGAGAAGACATGGAGATTGTCTGGCAAACTCCGGCCAACCCTCCGGAGCGCCATGATTATATCTTCCGTAACGGTAATCTATTCATGAAAAATATATATCTCCTTTTGAAAACGCATACCTTCATAATGATTCTTGAACCCACATATATTTTCAGGCATTCGTTATGTTAAACCCTACTACTTCGAATTCATTTCTCATGTATGTACGCGCTTCATATCTCTACACATTTTGATATAACAACAGTGCGATTGTGTAATTTATACATCTAAAACCCTAATTAAACCTCCTTACTGCTGGAATTTGGTTCATGTGAACAACAGGCTAAGGTTCGGTGGGCCGGGAAGACCATCGTTGATCTGTTTGCCGACGAGTTCAAAGGTCGGAACCGTGATTACTATGTAAGGACATAGAGATATGCCTTTAAACTGCTTATATTCTTTCTTCAAGTTCCGAAATTGATTGAAATACTTTGTCTATTGGATACAAGTTAAGTGGATGAACTCTGAATAATCTGAATAGCGATGATAGTTTTATCTTAATAAAATTGTAGGATTCTGCTGTAAAATCTGGCCGCATACAGGTAGATGGAAAGACAGTGTCTGTTTACTACAGAGTTAAATCATCACAAAAGATTAGTCACTTCCTGCATAGGTGTGTATGTGTTCTACTCAATGTTTTGTTCATCAACCAATTTTTTTTTGAACAAAACATATGATGCTATTTTATTTTACCTTCTTGTTCTACTCAACCAATTTTATATGGAAGAATGTAGGCATGAACCCCCAGTGATGGCATTGGATGTTAAGATTCTGCACAAAGGAGAAGATGTACTCACTGTTTGTAAGCCTGCATCTGTTCCTGTAAGTGTAAATTCTTATTTTATGCTTCCCAAAAGTTTTCTGTACTTTTATTTATTCTCATATTTATATTTGTTTATTTTCCTAACAGTTCTTGTTTACTTTAGAGCTTTCATTAAGAGAATTAGCCTTCAGGCAGATTGTTACAACAAGCACACTGGTTACATAGTTAAAGATTATTCATTATAAAGAGAATAATTTTTTTTTTGGAATTAGACCCACATCTCATCTCAAATATCATGCCTAAAATTCACTTTGGTCATTTCAGAATTTGCTTCTTTTTTCAGGTACATCCATGTGGTCAATATCGTAAGAACACAGTTGTTGGCATTCTTCAGGCAGAACACGACTTAGCCCCTCTCTTCCGTATCCAACTTTTCATTCCACAAATTACCATTTTGCCCTTTCTCATCTCTCCCTTGGTGGTTTCTTCACATTCAAAACATCTTTTTTTTTCTTAACTAAACATAAGCTATTCATCGTCTCGATCGCTTGGTCTCTGGACTTCTTATTCTTGCCAGAAGTGCTTCTCAGGCCGAAATTTTCAGACAACAGGTAACCTTTCTTTTTTTTTTTTTTTTTTTTTTTTTTTTTTTTTCCATTTGTCATTACAACTAAAGTTCAAAAATATTTGATTTTCAATTTTACTTCAGATTGAAGCTGGGATGGTAAAAAAACAGTATGTTGCAAAAGTTGTAGGGGAATTCCCTGAGGAGGAGGTATAGCTTTAGCCTTTAAGTAGAGATTCAATTATTTCCTTCATGTTTTTAATTATTTAATTTTTTTTTTTGGTTTATAAATCTGAAATAGCAAGTCGTTAATTTGAGGGTAAATTTCAATGCGCGAGAAGGAAGGAGTACAGTAGAGGTAGAACCATGCTAGCTTTGACTGTTACACATTTTGTTACCTTTTTTCCATCAGATTTATCGTCTGTTGTATTAAAATATTAATCAGTTAACTTTTCCCTGTATAGCCAGAGTCCACGGATGAAAAAGTCAACGGAAAGTCCGCATGTACAAAATTTACTAGAATCTCCACAAACGGGAAATACAGCATCGTATCATGTCATCCAGTCACTGGTAGAACTCATCAAGTAAGAAATACATACCACCAACATTATATACTGTCTACGCAAAAGACGTAAATACCCTCCTCATACTGACACCTCTTTGTCTTGATAGATTCGTGTGCATCTACTATCCACGGGTCACCCAATAGCCAATGACCCACTCTACCTATCCGATCAAATTGATAGCAACTCTAGGAGCGCATTTACTGCGCATAAAATCGCAGTGAAGTCAACTCATTCATTGGAACCCAAGTCAAATGATAATCACATCACTGGATCTGAAGAAGATTTTGACATAGATCCAATGTGCACAAATTGCCCAAACTTGGCTCCTATTGGGTAATCAATATTATTATACAATCTTTTAACGTTATTTTGATTTTAAATTTTGTTACTTTGGTTTATTGTCGATATGACTGTTAGTTGTTATGAATGCAGATACGATGGGAGTGAAGAAGGTTTGTGGCTTCATTGTGTTCGATACAGTGGACCCGATTGGGTATATGAATGTCCGTATCCAGAATGGGCATCTTTAAGCTTATAAATATTTCTAAATTTTGCTCTAAATTTTCATTTAAAAATAAATGTATTTGAATGTACAATATTTGTGTTACTATAATGTAACAAGGTACAACTATCCTGTTAGGGTTGGTAGACTTGAGAATGAAAAAAAGTGAAATTCTAAAGAGTAGAAGTTATGAGGCAAAATATAAGAGTTGATGTGAGAGATGGGTGAAGTTTGATATTTCAAAACTTAAGTAGGCAAAAAGAAACTGCAACAACATTTTTTTAAAGTAAATTATTAAACAGATGATTTAGCACTTGACACTCCCACCTAAAAATATCCACCATATTTTCAAGGGGTCTACCAGAAAATCATATTAAGAGATAATTTAAAACTGCATTTGGTTTTCACTATTCACAAAAGGAAATTACACTAATAAAAGTTTAGAATAAATTAAAAGCTTAGTTTAATAAAAAAAATCAAGCAATTACTTGAAATAGTCATTTTAGTTTCTAGCAAGATATTCTACTGTTCCTCAGTTCCTCCTTTTCATTCCAACTAGTGGGTATCCCGCACTGAATTTGTTTCAATATATCTTTTGTTGTACACTTTGGAAGTGCAACAACCTCAACTCCAATTACACATGAAGCATCAAGTAAGTAACCCTGTTACTCTCCCTCACTTCATTAAAAAAATTACAAAATACAGTTAGAAGAACATACGCATACAATAATGGCTAAAGCTTCACCAGTTCAGCGATAGTTAACAAAGAAGCTCTTAATTGAGTTGTTTTTTCCAACAATGGGATTATGTGTTTTATTGAAGATATCTTTTGTTCTCTGACCAACACTCGGGCGTTCTCAAATTCAACTATTACTCAACTATTACTCTTTCAGAGTTTGTAACAAATTGTGGGGATATGTTTCCTTTGTTAATCTCCGTTTCATCTTTAACATCGACAATTGTCTCAAAGGAGGACGAAGATTCAATACATAACACACCATGTATTTTTATGGTGTTGTGTGTGTCATCAATTGCCAACCATAGGTATTGAATATGTTTCATATGTGTATTGAATGTGTATTACATATATCTAATTACAATTGGGAAATGAATAGTATACTCTTTGAGTTTGAGACTTTGGCCACAAGATTTTCGTATGTTGACAGGTTCCTGTGTATTACCGCGGCTGCTGGCACAGAGTTAGCCGATGCTTATTCCCCAGATACCTTCATTGCTTCTTATCCGGGAAAAGAAGTTCATGACCTGTGGGCCTTCTACCTCCACGCGGCATTGCTCCAAATAGATTACAAAAATTATTCCTGTAATTTATAGAAAATGACCTACACAAATTGTTTTTACAGAAAGATGTCATGTGTTTAAGATTTTTGTATGCTGATAGGTTTAGTTTATGTATAGAAAATAAATTACAAAATGTTCTGTAATTTACAGAAAAGTTCCCTATGCAATTGTTTTTTTACAAAAAAAGTCTGTGTTTAAAGAATTACAAAAAATGGTCTTTGCCTAATATAAAATAATAAAATATACAGATTACAACCCTACAAAGTGGGGGTAATATCACCCTCGTTACGACTAATGAGAAAGGTGGCCATTCTATTGTAAATACCTTTAATATCCACATTTCTTTCATTTATTACAAAACAACTTTCTTTTAGTACATTTTTGCCAAAAAATTTGGTCTTTTACTTTGTTAAAAGAAGTACTTCTTTCAAATGTAATAAAATGAGTTTTAGCCAAATTCTTGGAGGTCATGGTGCTTTGCGTTTCCCGTTATTATTAATCTATCTATTAATTAAAGAATCGAAGTGGAC